TTTCAATTTTCAATTTGTTTTTTTCAATTTTTCAATTTGTTTTTGCATGTTATAATAAATTCTTATTAAGGTCCCTTTAATGCAAGCATTTTTTTGTAGCGCATCACGATGCAACATGATTAGGGTTGATTTTCAAGATAGAGCGATTTGGCTTTGTGCGATTCCTTTTATCCCAGGAATCGACAGCGATACAATTGCATCATGACGCACGTTGAGAAATGCATGCATAAAAGAGACGTAAAAGAAAAGATTATCAATCCTAATACGTTCTCATTAATGCTAGACTATTTTATTTACATGATCGGCTAATGATTTATAAAATCAAGTACGTGCTCTTTCCTTCATATAGAAACCGAGTGAAGTAATGTCTAGGTCACTTTTATTATAAAAATGCAATTTCTGCATTTGTCCAAACAACTTAAATTCGTCTATCGATAAAGTCCTCTGAGAAAAGACTTTAGCGGAAGAACTTTAGCGAATTATATTATCGAGCTTGAAATGCCTTTTTCGTTTTTTCCTTCGGATGAGGTATGGATTCAAGGGGACGGCAATACGATGATACGATACGCACTTACGCTGATACTCTCGATCGGGTCAATGTTATACCACTACGGATTATAACGATAGAATTAATTTCGTTATTTCGTTTTATAAAAATTCCCGAATATATTAAATTGTTTATAATAGTATATATATATAATTCCGACTAGTGGTATAATATTGAATAAGAAAAAACTTTTCTGCGGTCCCTGATTCGATTTATAAAATTTATCCTAGCCGTCCTCATTCAATATAACTTAAAAATACTTATAAAATCAATCGTTCGTTTTCTGAATCTCTCGTCACGATGCTATTTCATACGATTGATGACCAGATCGGCCATGATGATCAGGGCTCTCTGATAAGGGCTCTTGGTGAAGGACTGCGCAATTTTGCTAGCTTCCGCGCAGTGCTTCTTCGCCAAGAATCTTGTCTGCTCGAGACCGTTGGACTTGTGTACCAATTCGAAAGCCTTCTCCACGTCCCCGGGCTCTTGGAAACGGCGCATAATCATCGCATTCAATTCTGGATACTGTAACAAAGCATAACAATACTAATTCAAATCTTGTTTTAGATGGAACATTAAGAAAGCTCTATCGACAGATCTAATATATAACGTGCCCGATAAACCAAAAGGGGGATTTCTCCAGCCACACGATTTACACTTTGTGTATCAACCTGTTCGCAAGCGAAGAGCACCGGGGCTGTGGCCAGTCCGAGTCTAAGATCAGCGGCTGTGGGCTTGCCCATAGCCGTTGAGGAGGCCACGAAATCCAGAAGATCGTCCACCAGCTGGAAAGCCAAGCCGACATTTCTGCCGTATTGGAAGGTCATCTCTATCATACGATCATCGACTTCGGAAAGAATGGCGACCTGAGGTGATAATTAATAGTCATAATTTCATTAGTCATCATAAACACAACAGATCTCGACAGGAGCGACAAAGAAATAGACAATGGCTTCGCGCGTGATTACGATGTGAACTCACCGCTTTAACGCAATTGGCAATTAAACTCGCTGTTTTTCGATAAGTCTTCGTGAGATAATGTGCGAACCTCTCGTTTTCCGTTTCTTTGGAACCAAGCTGCATAAATTCGCCTTGCACCAAGTCAGCGAGAATCTACAAAGTAACGCGACCTTCATATCATCTTGGCTAAACATTCATTGCTGTCTCCTTCGTGTTATCTCAATTCGCCTTTGACTTGAGAAGAGGAAATAACATCGTATTGTAATTTTTAAGATATCTTGACATTTAAATTTTATTAAATGCTTAAAAATCACTTGTTTCCCTGTCGCTGTCTACTTGTTTGATCACTTGATCTTAAAAATCTTCGTTTATTAGAATACTTAAATGGCATTGTATTAATCACGCAAATAAAAAGTGCGAGTCTAAGTCAGCTAAAGACATTAAATTTTCCTTAAAAATTGATTACAAGTTAATAGTTTTGCACACACACACACACACACACACACACACACACACACACACACACACACACACACACACACACACACACACACACACACACACACACACACACACACATTAATCAGCGAAAACAATGGATTTGAAAAATTGAATTAAAAGCTAAATAATTTACCTGACTGATGGCGATAGTCACATCGTCATTTTGGATTCTGGAAAGCATCATGCAGGCGACCGCTAAGATATAATCTCCTGCCATAGCCACCTAAAGGCAAAACAATACATTCACTGTTGTCCATTATTCATTATGATAATTGAAGTGAAGATCAATTGCGTGCTGCACTTTGTACTTCTACATAGCACGTTTTACTTTCATGAGGTATCTTTGTGCGTCAAAATTGTGTAACATTTTCGGGTTACAGGAATTCGATATACCACAGAGCTACCACAAGCACGCACAATCCTTACGATAATATTATCATCAATTTTATTAAGTCATAGGTTGAGGTTTTTTTTTTTAATCGATATTTTCAGATACGGGGAATGACGTAAAATTTCGACGAAACCGCTTCGCGCGATTGCTCGTTACGTTAACAAAGCCGTCAACAAAGCCGACGTGGTTCTCCACGATTATAATCTGGGTTTCCTTTCACTGGACATTCTTCAAATCGGAGCCAAATGGCTTCGGGAAGGCGTTACACTGCCTTGGACTGCGCGTTCGAGTCCGCTAATCTGATTTCTTTTTGTTTCAATTCCACCTTTTGCAAGAAGTTTACCTATTACGTTTTGTTTTAGTATCAAACAATATAATATATATTGATGTTATAAAATATCTTCTTTCGATCACTGAATCTGAAGGAGAATTTAAATGTGCACAGTGGATCGATAGAAAGCCGTTCGAGATTCCGATCGTTTGAGCGAATTATTATAATGTTAGAAATTTAATGTCACGATGAAACGAACGTGGACCCGATGTCACGTAGGTTTTCATTAAATGTACACCGTGCATTCAGTTTTGGTCCATCACTCAGCGGTCGACGGGTGTCTGTCCGTATGAAATTGTTGATGAATACATCGTTTATAACGAGCAACGCCAAAACCGCAACATTTCTTAATAGCCACGACTCACGGTGTCGTACGTTGATTTCTAAATTTCCTCACACGTCGGATTCTAAAATCAAGATACATTGTCGCGCTTTCTATTTTTTTGCCCGATTTTAATTCTCTAAAATATTTCTTTGTTCTATCTCGAATTTATCACGATATTTCCCAAAATGATTCTCTAGAATTTTTATAAAATGTTTTCGCGCTGAGTAATACGATTACGTCAACTATTTTTTTATATTTATATAACATAAAATATAATATAAAATTTATATATATATAAAAGTTTGTTATTAATTTAATTCTTAATTACTCGAAGATTATAATTTCTTTAAAATAAATTTAGGAAAATCTATTTTAAGTAAGAATCTCCAAGAATCTATAAAAAAAATGCTACTCAGTGAGATTCCAGAGGCACATCTAGTATAAATCAAGAAGAAACTTCCGGATCGTCATCTCGAGATATTTTGGACAAGTGGAGGGATTGATGAAAGGTCGTTTCGTGTGACAAAGGCTAACTCAACGGTGACTCAACAAACGGCTCGTAATTTCGAGTTTCACATCCGGCATTGCTGACGCGTCCGCCTTATTTTCACGCGTCTTAAGCCGCGATAACCGAAAGACACTTGGTAGGGTTTTTCCTCCGGGAATAGCACGCGCTCTTCGTGTTACCAGCGACACTTTCTTGCAATTACGCGACGAGACCGACGTTCCGCCAAATGAACATCAATCAGCGCCGAGAGCCAGTGGTCTACGAGACTCATTAATTTCGGTTAATGTTATCTCCGGGAAACGAGTTACGATTGGGCAACACTTCGATATGCTGGAATGCTTGGAATGCTCGCTTTAACGATAGAAGTATTGAACGAATCATTCTCGATAATTTTTAAATTAATATTTTTCTTCTCGTATTAAACATATAATTTTGAAATTTTCTAACTTTTCATCAATTACTTTTTTTATTCTGATGAAATAAATCAACAAATTTTTACTTTATATATATATATATATA